AATCACACAGCTTCACATAGAAATAGCTGCATGAATGCATGGATGTGGATTACAGTGTCAAGTGCTTTATCCGACTGGTCCTAGAAATGCAGTAAATAAATGCAGTCATTTTAGCAACAGGCGCTCCAAACCTCCACTGTCTCAACTGATGTTGTTAGTTTGGACTGAGTTTGTTAACACTGCATAATAACTTCCTACCTTTTTAGTTCCAGAAAGAGTATCTGCACATTTTCCAGTAATCCTTTTTCTTTCTACCCAGACCTGTGTCCTCCTAACGCAGAGTATATAGAGTGCGGTCCAGCTTGCATTCCTACATGTATGGAACCCTCTACCAACTGTTCTGGCTCCTGCATCACTGGGTGTTTCTGCAAACCAGGCTTTGTCTTCAAAGGACGGCACTGCGTGCCACTGGACAAGTGTGGTTGTTTAGATGACAACAATAACTATTATGAGGTCAGATGTCCTAGTTAGTACTGTGTACAGTGTACATTTAAAGACATACAGTATACTTTCTCAGTACTGATTGTTTTCATTTTATCCAGCCTGGTGAGATAGTATTTGGAGATGGCTGCACAAAGCTGTGTCGCTGTGTAGGGAACTACACTTTGGAATGTGTTGATAACTCCTGTGACCCCACTGAAGAGTGTCGAGAGGTTAATGGTGTTGCAGGCTGTTATCCTAAAGGTAATAATGTTTGTTGACTTTATTGTTGTCGACTTGATTTAATGCAGTGTAATAAATTACATCTGCACAAGGAGCACCTTGTGTTGTGCTTTACAGTCAGTCGGTATAACTTGATAGTTGACAGTGTGGAAATTAAAATTTTCTCATATATTATTCCTTTAGGTACATCCACATGCATAGCATCTGGCGATCCACACTACACCAGCTTTGACAAACGCAAATATGACTTCATGGGCAACTGCAGCTATCTGATGTCTAGCCCATGCAATGACACAACTGTGCCCTACTTTGAGGTCCATACTGACAATGAATACCGGTATAACAGGCCGACCATCTCCTATGTGAATGCCGTACATGTACACGCACAGATGATAAAGATCTCCATTCTCAAAGGTGGCACTGTGCAGGTAAGACATGAGAGGAAGAAACAGGATGTTTTGCATGTGAAAACCAATCACGCTTTCACGTTATCAGGCACTACTGCATTACAAACAAACATCATTCTGTGGTACAAATCACTGCACATGCTC